CCCTGACTGGGATCAAACCCACACCCAGGTATGTGCCCTGACCAGGAATCCAACCCGTAACTTTTTGGTATATGGGGTGACACACCGACCCACTGAGCCACCCCGCCAGGCTAGTTTTTTGTTTGTTGGTTGGTTTTAGACAGAGACATTTTAAAGAGAGACATCAGTTTGTTCTACTTTTTTATGCATTCATTGGTTGATTCCTGTATGTGCCCCAACTGGGGATGAAACCCTCAACCTGGCATATCAAGAGGATGCTCTGATCAACTGAGCTACCTGACCAGGGCAGAAGTTACTTTGTTTTTTAAAACTGCCCACTGGCCTGCGCCGTTCATATAAAGATTGACGCTGAGCTGCTCTGTTGCTATGCCTTCAAGTAAGTTACAGAGTTCTGATGGAGAGATATTTGAAGTTGATGCTGAAATTGCCTAATAATCTGTGACTATCAAGACCATCTTAGAAGATTTGGGAATGAATGATGAAGGTGATGATGACCCAGTTCTTCTACCAAGTGTTAATACAGCAATATTTAAAAAGGTCATTCAGTAGTGTGCCCACCACAAGGATGACCCTCCTCCTCCTGAGGATGATGAGAACAAAGAAAAGAGAACAGATAATATCCTTGTTTGGGACCAAGAATTCTTCAAATTTGTCCAAGGAACACTTTTTAAACTTATTCTGGCTGTAAATTATTTAGACATCACAGGTTTGCTTGATGTTACATGTAAGATTATTGCCAGTCTGATCAAGGAAAAAACCCCTGAAGAGATTTGCAGGCCCATCAATATAAAAAATGACTTTACTGAAAAAGAAGGCCAGGTATGCAAAGAGAAACAGTGGTGTAAAGAGATGTAAAAAGTTGTGCCTGATACTGTAGCACTGTAAGGATTGTTCCAAATACTAGTTGCACTGCTGTTTATAATTGTTACTATTAAGCAAATAGTAGACAAATGCAGAAGCAAATCAACTGTATTAGCAGAATATTGTTATTGCATGTGTAATTTTGGGTACAGATTCCAAACTATGGCTGAGTTTCTTCCAGTATGATCAAAAGTATCTTTTTTCTTTGCTCTAAATAAAACTGAATTATGGGTTATCTATTAAAAACAAACAAACTCTGTCCACTAATATATTGAAACAATTTAGCAGTTTACTGTTACTGGAAAGTCTTAAGTCTCAGACAGATAGGAGATGCTTTTGAAATTAAATCTACCCAATTTCTTATTCTGTGTTTTCTTAAAATTGTCTTTAGTTTTGCTGTGTTCTCTAACATGCATACACTGTTTGCATTTGCATGGAGAGGCATTATGCCATACTTTTAGAATTTAATAACATGTATCAGTAGCCATTGAGTGATTCTACCTTTTTACCTTATAATTCCACTTCACAGACTTTTTTTCCCCCTGAGGATATAATTAAAAATGTTTACTCCAGTATTCTTTCTAATGAAAAAAAAAAATGAAAAAATCTTATTCTATGTGAAAAGTTATAAATATGGCTCTGTGTGTGTGTGTGTGTGTGTGTGTGTGTGTGTGTATTTAATGGAATATTATTAGCCAATTAAAATGCAGGTTCGCCCTGGCTGGTTTGGATAGATTGTCAGCTGGAAACCAAAGGGTCCTGTGTTCAATTCCAGTCAAGGGCATGTACCTTGTTGCAGGTTTCTCCCCGGTCCGAGCCCTGGTTGGGCCTTGTACAGGAAGCAACCAGTTGATGTGTTTCTCTCACCTCAATATTTCTCTGTCTTTCCCTCTCTCTTCCACTCTCTAAAAATCAATGGAAAAATATCCTTGGGTGAGGATCTACACTAATAAAAGAGAAAGATGCAAATTGACCATTCTTTCATGATGCCCACCAGCCGATCAGGAGTGAGTATGCAAATTAACCAAACAAAGATGGTGGGTTAATTTGCATAAGGTGCCAAGCACCTGATTTGTGATTAACTGTTTAATTCATTTTCTTAACCCTTTTCCTTCTTCTACTTCCTTTTTCTCTCCCTCATTTTACCCCCTATTGAGGGTATTAGTTCTTTGTCTTTACACATTTGTCACTTTAGCTTTTTGTTTGAGGGGTTGATTAATCAACTTGTTTTTCCCTAAATAGGTCTGTGATAAGTAGGTTGCTTTGATTTATTAAAATATCTAATAATTTTTTTTTAAAAGCCATTTTTCCTTGCCACAGAACAGTTGCTTTTTCTCCCCCTTTGAGTTTGACATTGCAGGAGTCCAATTACTATAGACACATTATCCCTTCATGGCATCTCACCCTGATGAATGCCATATGCAATTAGTTAGGTTGACAGCTTTGGTATCGCCACTAAATGCACTGGTATACTTAACTCTTCTAAAGGAGAAGAACCACATTATTTTCTCTTAAAACAACTTGTATTTTCTGAGTCTGTGTTTGTGCTACTGGTAATGTGCTGTAAATGCTGACTTTGTGCCGTGAATGATCTTTACAATAAGCAGAGCCTCCCAGCCATGAGAAAGATTTGATATCTGTGTTGTGAAGTACTTGTAAATTGTAGTGGAAGGAATTGACAAGTAAGAATTTTATAATTTGTGGTTGTCCATCGCCCCTACGGACTGTCAATGATTACAATTTGAAAATTTCAAAGTACACATGATTAGTATTATCTTAGGAAGATTAATTGCATTAATTTTAACAGTCTCCTTTTTATTAGAACAAAATGCTAGTTAAGACCACTGAAAAATATCAGTTGGCTGTATGATCCCTGTATTTCTCAATTACCTCCAAAAATTAGAATGATCTACTAATACCTGGTAGAAAACTGACCACTTTGTTGTTGTTTTATGGTTAATTGAACAGTTGTGTCTTTGAAGTCTGCACCTCTCTCAAATATGTTTTGTATAGCTTTGGAATTTGTGTTACATATTATTTTAAACCCAATAAAATAACTATATTTTCATAATTATTTTAGCTCATTTTCACAAAAAGAGAATTTGGTAATTACACAGTTTTCAGGCAAAATTATCTTAAAATTGAATTCATAAAACCACTAAGCCTTCCTTCCTTCCTCCTTTCCTTTTTAGCTAGGATTTGGTATCATTTATGAGGCTAGTTCTGTGGTGGGCATTTACTGCATGATATCCATTTAATACCTTATTTTCAACAAGACCTTATTTTCTCCCTTTGTAGGAAATGACATTCTGTTTTTGACATCTTTAATTTCAGAGTTTGCCAATGGTCAGATCAAAATTGACTTCAAATATTATGGAAAGAAAAATAAGATCTTAACTTTCTAGTCTCCTAAACTACACATCATTGAGAAACTTAAGCTTTATGGGTATGAAATTTGGGATAGAGGCTTATTAGGCTGCTTGAGCACCTTTTATCCCATAATAGTTGTAGAATATGAAGATCTGAATTTTTCATAAGGGCACTAATACTAATAATTTCATGGCAAACAATGTTTTTTGTTGTTGTTGTTGTTTTTAAAATATGTTTTTATTTATTTCAGAGAGGAAGGGAGAGGGAGAGAGAGAAACATCAATGATGAGAAAGAATCATTGATTGGTTGCCTTCTGCACGCCCCCTTTTGGGGATCCAGCCTGCAACCCTGGGCATGTGCCCTGACCGAGAATCGAACTATGACCTCCTCGTTCATAGGTTGATGCTCAACCACTGAACTACACTGGTTGGGTAACAATGGGTTTCTTAAGGCCTTGTCATTTTAAATTGGCTTAAGGTCTGGTTATTGCTGCTCTAAATGTGTATCTGCGCCTGCCTTCAAATGAACTTATTTGCAGTAGTGGTAACTTGTATTGACATTCTTGCCGACAGTTCTAATGGACCTTAAACAGTCTACTTTATGTAGTCACAGCACAGATTTTGGGAAGGATTCAGCCCAAATTTTGGTGATAAATTTCTATACACAAGAAATATATGAGCTTTAAAAATTAAGAGGTTTGATTCTATTTTGAATTTGGATATCAAATGAATCTAAGCACATGACATTTTAATGCTGTTTGTCTTTTCAAATAGATTTACCTTCTAATGCATGTGACAATAGGACTTTGCTCATCAGCTAGAACATACATTTCAGAGTAGTTGTTACCTAAAATATTATCATACGGCATAAGAAAACATACGATTTAAGTTGCCTTTCATGAACATAATTAAGAATTAATAAGCTAGTACCAGTGGCTAGTCCCCAGAATTTCCACTGTTTTGCCTTTTGTGACCTGTGTTATTAAAAGTCCATTATTTTTACAGACTTTATTAAATTGGATCTTATTAAAGCATTCTATATTTGCATTTGGTCTTTCATAATTCATTATTATTATGACATTTACTTTTTACCATCAGATCTGAAAACATATCATAAGCTACCCTTTTCTCTTGAAAGAAATGCTAATTTCAAACAGTCCTCTAATAGAAGAGAAAAGCTTTATCAGTTTTTTCATTTATTCCAGATCGTGTTAAGAATACTAATGCTAGACTTCAGTATGCTAATATCTGAGCTTTTTTTGGTCAAAAGCTTAGAATTATTATTTTTATCCCATATTAAGTATGAAACTAAAAGACCTGCTACTATTGGAGAAAACATGGTTCTGAAGTACAATTCTTAATTCTAAAAACTTGTGAAAATGTTGCTAAATTTGCTTTATATTAGGATAATGGTAGTCAATTTAACTTTGTAACTTGAAATATTTGTCCTATTTAAGAAATTGTTTTCTGTTAAAATTCATTTTGTTTTCTCATAGTTTGGGTAGTATAGCTTACAGTGTTTAAGACTAAGAATCCTGTGCTGTCAGCCCCATAAGGCATTTAGGGTGTGTTGCCTGCTTTTCTAAATGATAATAATTTCTGTATTATTTAGTATGTAGTGGAAAATTCAATATAGGAAGACTTTACATATTGATATCAAACAAGCTGTCTAATTTTAACATAACAGATTCAGCAAGTTTTATGTTGGGATACTACTAAATTTATTAAACTCTGAAATGAAACTTACTTTGCATTTTATCTTATTTTAGATTCCTGACCATGTGCAATAGACACTTTGGCAGTGTTGTTGCACAAACTATTCGGACTCAAAAAACAGACCAGTTTCCACTTTTTCTGATTATTATGGGAAAGCGATCATCTAATGAAGTATTAAATGTGATACAAGGTAAAAAGTACATGTTACAAGGGGAGTGCACTGTCTGTATATAATTTTTATTGTAATATTTACTGTTAGTGCTGACAGTCATCTTTTATATTGGTGAATATTTTTGTACTTTAAAATATAGAACTTCTTGAAGAAGAAAACCTTCAAAAAGTATAGGTACTATGAAAAATTAAATGCTCTGTATGAAAATCCAACAGAAATGCCTTAATAAAGTTACACAGCCCTTGAGACATAGGATAATCATGTTGAATCTTCAGTATTGCTTAATTCCCTAAACTAGCAATTAAGTCATAACCAGTTGTCAAATATGACATTTCATATATGTATATATACATAGAGATTTGCTGAATGTATGATTAGTTGAAAGAAATGCTTATCTTTACTTATCTAGAAAACTCAATGACTTGATACTGCAAATGGAATTAGTTACAGTGTGAATCTGTGTCTAAGATGCAACTCTGGGGCGTGAAGTTATTAGGATACCTATGAATTTAAACTTTCCCAAAAAATTAATCTTTACATTCTTTACTAAAAAAAAATAAGTGAATGATTTTTTATTGATTAGCATAAAATATTACCTTATCATGGCAAAGCTTAAATTGAAAATAGTATCTCCTATGCCACAAAGTAAAAAGATGTTTCAGGTGCACCACACTAAATAAAACCTTCAGTATTTTATGTTTTCTCTATAACTAAAACAATCAGTTTCATAAATAATGTTGAAGAACTGCTCAGCTGCCCTGGCCAATTTGCTCAGGAGCATTGGCCCGTGGACAGAGTGTTGTGGATTCGATTCCCGGTCAGGGCACATGCCCAGGTTTTGGGCTTGGTCCCCAGTAGGGGGCTCATAGGAGGCAGCCGATCAATGTTTTTCTCTCTCTCTTTCCCTTTCTCTAAAATCAATAAAAACATATTTTTAAAAATACTCACTTTTTAGTCTACATATCTCTGTGAGGTCAGATTACTTCATAAATTTTAACTAAGACAATATATTATAATTGGTTTACTATAGAAGTAGGTATGAGAATCCAATTTTCTCTGTTAAGCCACACATTAAAGAGATTTTTTTTAATGTTAGTCAATGCCATTCTTTTCACTAAACTTTTTCTATTTGAATATAGTTATTTTTCATAAAAATGTGACATTAACACATAATCACTTTATTGTCATTTCTAAAAGATTTGATAAGTATGTTTTAAATATTTCAGTTTTAATTTCTATCACAGTAAATGTTTATAACTATAACCCACATACAATTCTTTAGGGATCTCAAGAGTATAAAGGGATTCTGAAGCCAAAAAGTTTGAAAACCACTGCAGTAAGCTATAAAGAAGAAATTTGCCCTAACTGCATTAACTGGTATCTTTTCTCCCATCTTGGATCATTAAGGGCTTAAGTATAAAGTACCCATAAGATCAGTTTGGCAGTGAGTCCTTACAATTAGGGTTGAAGCATAGTTTATAAGCAGTGGCTTAAGTCTGAAAATTAATGGTCAGTATGTAGTCAGTTTTACCACTATGAATGGTATTTTCCCATTGATGATTCTAGTCCCCTTCATAAAATATTCATGCCTTGTACTCTGAGTCATATGCACTACAGTTTACAAATAAGAAATGAAAACTCAAGAATTTGCTCAGGAACAAAATTTGCATTAAACTTGATCCTAAACTTTTTGCCATTTATCATGTCTGTTCATAATGACTACCAGTGATTATGCGTGTAGTACCTGTGTACTAGCCACTTTACATTATCTCTATTCCTTCTAAGAACCCTACAGAGATAGTATTACCTTTATTTTGCAGATAAGAATATTGATCCTTAAAGAGCTACAGTCAATCACTCATTCATTTATTTGTTTATTAAGTAAATATTTGTTAAACTCTTATGTGCTAGATAATTTCTAGGTACAGGATCATAGTGGTGAAACTAAGGTTATAACTGTGACTACAAAACCAGTTTTTACTAGATAAGAGCATATTAGTTTGTACATTTTTTAGATTATTCTTATTATGATTAATTCTAGAATGACTTCCTGTTTTATAATAATTAAATATGACAATCTCCATGTGTTGCTAGGTAACACAACAGTGGATGAATTAATGATGAGACTCATAGCAGCAATGGAAATCTTTTCAGCCCAACAACAAGAGGATATAAAGGATGAGGTAAGGTGAAAGCTTAAGTAGACCTTAACTAGAATTTTGTTTTGTTGAATGGTGATGCTTGCCTATGTCATGATTGGTAAGTAAGAATTATAAAGATGCATTGCCAGATTAAACAGGACTTTATGTCATTGAGTTTACCTTGCAGTTCATTCTTTTTATGACCGCATGACCCAACAATATGGATATCTATGCTTTGCTAGATTTGGTGTAGTGGTAGGAGGTGAATTTGCAGGAAGTGAATTCCAAAGCGTATTTACAGAAGAAACTACAGTCCAGGAAATCTCTGTGGCTGTAGCCATCTTATTTGGGCTTAATTTGCATACTTGCTCTGACTGGCTGGTGGGAGTAGCTTGTCTACTATATGGGTTTTTTACTCACTTTTAAGGTCCTTTGACTCTTTTTAAATATGAGATTGACTAGCAATAAACATGGTTTACATTTGATCATATTTTTGAAGCACTGTGAGGATTAGCAAAAGATCTCCAAAATTCTGAATTTCTCATTCTCTTGAATATTTTCATGTGTATAGAGAACATGAGCATGAAACCTCAAATAAAATATTAATAACAGCAATATTGATAATGACAAAAGTAGTCAACACTTAATGAATATTTATCATGTGCTTTTCAAAACACCCCATGTGGTTATATAGGAATCAGACAGTCTGGCAGGAATCAGGTGGCACTTTCAAACTGGGTGAGTTGAAAAGAGTTTAATAAGGGAACTGTATTAAGTTATGGACAGGGTTAATGGAAGTCAACAATGGATAATACAGAATCTAGGGCTTAAGGGAGACATTACCATCCCTATGGTTAAAGTCTAGGATGGTGTAGAGAGAGGACTGCTTCTGATAGAGGGATATAACCAGTCCTTGGTGACCTGGTAGGGAATAAACTGGTAGTACCTTCTTTTCGTCTAACCGAACTAGAACCTTCCTGGGCAAAAAGCAAGGAAGAGAATGGATACTGGGGCAATGAAAGATAATCTAGCACAGATAAGTACTATTTTCTCCATTTTTCAGATGAAAAAACTGGAGGGTCAAAAAGTTAATTTACCCAAGGTCGTACAGCTGGTGGAATCTATAATAATTTTAAGTAATCATTAGTGCTTTATCAGTTAAGAAATTTCTAGACTTAAAAAATAGCTTTAAGACAAAATAGGAAACAAATATTAACATTTGTTAGTTTGAGATGCTAAGTTCACACCTATTAATAAAATCATCTTTAATTTTGTTTGTTAATTAAATTACAAAAATATTTCTATAGAGCAAATAAGGAAGAGTTTTATTTCTGAGCAATGATGAAAAGTTTCTAGGTATAGTGAATGTTTTCAATAGAATAACCTTTATTGCAAACTGAACATGTAGACAGCTCTATCTAATAAAAGAGTGATATGCAAGTTAACCATCACTTCACTATACTGACAAGCCACATCCACCAGCCAGTCATAGTGAATATGCAAATTAACCCCAACTAGGATGGCTACAGCCAAAGAGAGCAGGAGGGAGACTTGGGTTTCCCTGACAATGGAGGAAGCCAAGCTTTCCACACACCCTGGCAGGCCCAGGCCTCCACTCACAGGTACAAAGTTTCTATTACAGAAGGTAAATAAATTCCAACAGAAATGGCGGCAGCCACGGAGCTGGAAGATCAGGATGCTAGGGTTGCCCCAGGCGATAAAGGAAGCCAAGCTTCTGTAGTCCTGGCCAACCTAGGCCTCTACTCTAGGCTACAAAATTTCAATTATAGAAGACACATAAATTCCAACAGAAATGGCTGCCGCGACTGAGCGAGCAGGATTCTTGGCTCCACTCCAAGCTACAAGGTTTCAATTGTAAAAGATAAATAAATTCCAGATACCAGGGCCTCCACTTGGGTCGTCAGAGGTTGTGTCCGGCCTGCAAACCACCACAGTCCCCTCGCCCAGACTGTCCCATGCCCCAAGGGAACCCCCCACCTTGATCTGGGACACCCTTCAGGGCAAACCAGCTGGCCCCCACCCGTGCACCAGGCCTCTATCCTATCTAATAAAAGAGTAATATGCAGATTGACTATCACTCCAACACACAAGATGGTTGCCCTCATGTGGTCAAAGATCCTGCCCCCATGTGGACACAAGATGGCCACCACAAGATGGCCAGCAAGGAAGGACAGTTGGGAGGGACCAGGCCTGCAAGGGAGGACAGTTGTGTGCGATCGGGCAAGCAGGGGAGGGCAGTTGGGGGCAATCAACCCTGCAGGGAAGGACAGTTAGGGGTGACCAGGCTGGCGGAGGAGGGAAGTTGGGGCAAACAGGCTGGCAGGGGAGCAGTTAGATATCAATCAGGTTTGCATGGGAGTGGTTAAGTGTTGATCAAGCTGGCAGGCAGAAGCAGTTAGGGGCAATCAGGAAGGCAGGCGGGCAGGTAAGCAGTTGGGAGCCAGCAGCCCTGGATTGTGAGAGGGGTGTCCAACTGCCCATCAGGATTGGGCCTAAATGGGCAGTCGGACATTCCTTGAGGGGTCCCAGATTGGAGAGGGTGCAGGCTGGGCTGAGGGACACACACACACACCTGTGCATGAATTTCATGCACCGGGCCTCTAGTTTTAATATAATCTTGTATATTTTATTTTATTTACTTGTCTGTCTTTCAAAAGCCTGAGTTTGTTAAAAGAGCAAGGTTGTGAGGACTTGGGACAGTGGGTAGGAGAGGCTGGGGGTTGGTCAATGGGGGGAAAAAAGGAGGAGATATATGTACTACTATATGTAATACTTCAAACAATAAAATAAATAGATAGATAGATAGATAGATAGATAGATAGATAGATAGATAGATAGATACTTTAAACAATAAAATAAATAAATAGATAGATAGATAGATAGATACTTTAAACAATAAAATAAATAGATAGATAGATAGATAGATAGATAGATAGATAGATAAAATGTCAAGTGGCTGAAATCGGTTTGGCTCAGTGGATAGAGCATCGCCCTGCAGACTGAAAGGTCCCAGGTTTAGTTCCAGTCAAGGGCATGTACCTTGGTTGCAGGCACATCCCCAGTAGGGGGTGTGCAGGAGGCAGCTGATCGATGTTTCTCGATGTTTCTAACTCTCTATCCCTCTCCCTTCTTCTCTGTTAAAAAAAAAAAAAAAAATTTTAAAAAATAAAATGAAATGTCAAATGATTGGATAAATGAATAATTGGAAGAATGTTCATGAAGTATTATTTAAAAATAATATTTCAGTGATTCTGCTAACAGAATCATTCATGAATTTAATTTTAACTGGAAGCTTAAGGTGTCTTATTTGAAATGTTTAAAAAGTAAAGGCAGTCCCAACCTGTGTTGCTCAGTGGTTGGATATCAACCCAGGAACCTGTAGATCAGGATTGGATTCTCTGTCAGGGCACATGCTCAGGTTGTGGGCTTGATCCCCAGAAGGGGGCCTGCAGGAGGCAGGCGATTGATGATGTTTCTCTATCATTGATATTTCTCTCTAATTCATCCTCTTCCTCTCTAAAAATCAATAAAAGCAGACTAAGAAGAAAGTGAAGGTAAATTCACAATGACAAGGAGCAGTGTTTTTTGTCACATACACTCAGCAGATAGGAAATCATTATGATGTGCATAGTCCGTCGAAAAGAAGTCTTTAAACTTAGAAAAGCTTTTCTTAGGAACTCTCTACTTATGACCCGAATAGTAATTTTCAAGAAGGCAGTCTAAAAACAGAGAAATCCCTACCGCTTGCAGTTAAATTTCAATAAAACTTTCAATTATATGGAGCCTTGGATTTTTCCTGTAACCCTCATATTCAATTTTATGCAAAGTATTAAAGGAATTAAAGTCAATTTCTTTACCAGTGAATTATGAGGAACACAAAATAAGATAAAAGAATGAACTGGGAATATGCATGCAGATATTGTGCTTTTCTATTATACAGCATAATCTGTAAATCTAGTACTTAATGAGACACAAGATTTAAATGTCTGAAGAATGCATTTAGTAAATTATTGTCAATCAATGCCTCTATTCTAGGATACACATAATCTTAAAGGCAGCACACCTATTATTACAAATTCCTAACTAAGTACAGTAGTTCATTATTTTGAAATGTCATTGTCAATTTATAGAGTAACAGATAAACATCTTTCCACCATATACCTAATTACCTTCAAAGTAAATGAAACACTATTAAGAAAAATTACAAACGACAGTTTTACAACAATAAAAGTAACCTAATGAGCATTAAAACTGTAAACTAGTTATAACATTGTAAACTAGCTAGAACAAGGCTAAAAGCAAAAATTGATTGTGGCTATTGTCATACAGTGATAATTGCTTACCTCCTTTTTGTTGCCAATAGCCCCTCATTGGAGCAAAGTACCTCTCCGTCCCCAGGATCTAGCCAAGTGCTATATACTTAATACTAGGTGTACAGTTAATAATGTAGATTTTATAATCAAAGAAAACCCGATAATTTCAAGAGAAACATCAAAAGTGCTTTATTCAAAGTAATGTCCATCACTAGCTACACATTTCCCCCATCTTTTAGGTAATTTGTGGATACCATCTCAGTAGAACTTTTCTTATTTTGAGGCAACCATTCAAAGACCCAATTTTCCACTTCTTATGTTTTGAAGTGCTGCTCAGAAAGTGCTTATGCCATTGATCAGAACAAGTGGTAATCTGAAGGAGCAAGGTCTGGTGAATATGGCAAGTGGGTTAATACTTTCCAGGCAAAATCTTTTAACATGTCCTTAACTGGTTTTGAAGTGTGTGATGGTACTTCATTATGAAGCAAAATTACTTTGCCATGTCTTCTGGCCCATTCTGGTTGTTTCTCTATCAAAGTGTGGTTCATATAGGTTATTTGTTGTCAGTAGCGATCAGTATTAATGGTTTCACCTGGTTTAAGAAGCTCATAACACACCTTCCTGATCCCACCAAATGCAGAGCATGGTCTTCTTTTCGATTTGGCCTTGCAGTTGATGTTGATGGTTGACCTGGATCAACCCATGATT